GACAAAGATTTGTCCTGACTGTGGGCAAAGCAGGAAAACTCTAGCTACAGGGCAAAATGGCACAGATCTTGTGAAAGCGGCCAACCAATGACCAGTCCCATTTGAGGTACACTGCACAAGAGGGAGCCCATGTCTAACCCTACCTGAATGGCCAGGAACTAGAGGTTGGATAGCCCAGAGACCTAGGGCAGGACCAAACATAACTGACCAAAAAAAGAAAAAAAAGGATGAAAGAAGAAAGAAAGGAAGGAAGAAATGATTCCTAATGATGTTCCTCTAGGACTCATAGATCGGTGCCTAGTCCAGCTGTCATCAGAGAGGCTTCCTCTGGCAGCCCTTGGGAGAGCATGCAGAGACCCACAGTGAAACCCTGTCTCAAAAACAGAGAGAGAGAGAGGGAGAGAGAGAGACACCCAGATTCTAGCACCCACAAAGCAGCTTTACAAACTCCTGTAACTCCAGCTCCAAGGGCTCCAATTACCCCTTCTAGCCTCTGTGGGCTCCTTCATACATGTGCACACACACACACACACACACACACACACACACACACACACACACACACATAAAATATTGTTTGGAGATTAGGAAGATACAAACAACTTAAACACATCCACTTGCCTCACCGCTGCCTTGCATTCGTCCCAGGTTCATTGACAGCAAACCAAAAACTGTAATACCTGCTATGACTATGCTGTGGATAGAAATCCCATGACCATCTGAATAGGCACACAAAGGGCATTTGATGAAGTTCAACATGCTTTAAATGATAGAAGTCCTAATAAATTATGACTTGCAGGAACATACTTCAATGTAATGAAAGTTTATATGACAGCCCTAAGGCCAACATTATATTAAACATGGTAAAACTGAAAGTATATCCTCTAAAACCTGCAATGGGACAAGAGTGTCTGCTCTCTAGTCTCTTATCCACTCTTATCTAGCTTGAACTCTTAGCTAGAGCAATAAGAAAAAGAAATTAAATGGTTACCAATAGGGAAGAAAGAATCCAAAGTATCCCTGTATGCAGACTGCATGGGTCTATACTTAGAAGCACCTACACACTACACCTGAAAATGTGCAGATCTGACAAACACTGCCAGTGAAGATGGAGAGTAACAAGTCATCTTAGACATGTCAGGAGCTTCTCATACAATAGCAAACACGCTGAGCATGAAAATGGGAAGGCTAGCCCGTTCACTACAGCTTGAAGAAAATTTAAGTTCCCAGTAAAAACCCTAACCAAGGAAGTGAAAGACCTCTACAAAGAAAACATAAAACCTTAAAAGAAATTAAGGAAACACACTAGACACGTGAAAGACCATTTATGCTACTGGGTTTAATATTGTGAAAATGCTACACTACAAGTAATAACAGCGTCAATATACTTCCAATAATACACCTCATGAAACTAGAGAATATTCTAAAATTTGTATAGGGACTTGGACAGCCAAAGCAAGCAAAGCATGGCTGGAGTTAAACAATCCTTGGCCTAAAATTATACCTCAGATCCATAGTGATGAAGACAGCAAGAACTGACTGAGAATCTAGTGTAAAACCACAGAACAGAGTACACAGCCCAGGAAAAAACACACGCAGTTTGGAAACCTAACTTTTGACACAAGAATCACAATCATAGTCTGCAGAAAAGCCTAACACTAGGTGGTGCTGGTAATACAGGACACCCACCTATGGGAGAACGAAATAGATCCATATCTCTCACCCTGCACAAAACCAGTTCGAAACAGATGAGGGGCATGGATTTAAACCTTGAAATGCTGGAGTGGCTAGAGGAAGAGAAAGAGAAAACACTTTGTACATAGGTGTGAGGTTTCAAACCAGGGACAAACGCTGAGCTGCCTATTTAACACATCAAAGCAGACCTGGCTCCCAGGTTCTCCCAGCACCCCTCAGTTCCCACCTGTTCCAGGGTATGGATCACTCCGCACTGGCTCTCTACCTTGAACTCTCCATCCCCCAGAGGCTCTTCTCTACGTAATTCAGACATTTTCGTCACTCCCCACTTTTGTACCTTTGGCCTCCTGGCTGCCTCACCAGGTTCTCCTTCCTCCCTTCTTCCTTCCCCTCCCCATCTCCCCACATGGCCCACCTCAACCTGGTCATGTCCACTCTGGACTCTCCCCAGATGTCCCTGCCTCTGACTATGCTCTCCTATATATCTCTACAATAAACCTTCTCCTCCACCATATCTAGGTGCAGTCATGTCCTTTCCTTTCCTCTTTATTTCTTTTTTTCAATATCATTCCAAGAACTCCAATAGCACAGGAGAGAGCCCCATAAACTGACAAATGAGATCACATGGAATTAAAAAGCTTCTCTGCAACAAAAGATGCCAGCATGAGGAGCCTAGAGAATGAGAGCTCATCACCAGTGCAGGACCTTAACGTGTAGAATGTACAAAGAATTGCAACTACTACACATCAAAAACCAATCAATCGATAAAAGGGCTAATGAAGTGAACAGTTTTTAAAGAGCAATACACGGGGGCCAATACTTTTTTTTTTTTATATTTTATTGGTGTTTTGCCTGCAGGTATCTCTGTGTGAGGGTGTTGGACCTGGAGTTACAGTTATGAGCTGCCATGTGGGTGCCAGGAATTGAAACCCAGGTTTTCTGGAAGAGCAGTCAGTGCTCTCAACCGCTGAGCTATACCTCTCCAGCCCCGCCAATAAGTATTTTACAAAATCTTCAACATCTTTATCCTTCAGGTAAATTCAAGTTAAGACCACTTTGGATTCCATCTAACGTAAGCCACAATGACTGCAATCAGACAACCAATGAGACATTCTGGCAAGGATGTGGGGAAGGGACCCTCAGCAAGTGCTATTGGGAGTCTAAACTGGAGCAGTATGGTGGAAATCGGTACAGAGGTTCCTAAAAAACAGAACTTCCATAGGCCCAGGTCTACCATTCCTGAGCATGGACTCAAAGGATGCTGTCTACATCCAGGGAGATACCCACACATCCATGCTGACTGTGGCACTACTTACCACAGCAAGACAATTAGGTACAAAAAACATACACCTAAGTGAGTTTTATTAGTTTGCTTATTTAAAAATGTAACACGTAAAGAAAAGAAGCAAGCCAGGCAGTGGTGGCACAACCTTTAATCCTAGCATTTGGAAGGCAAAGGCACATGGGTCTCTGAGTTCAAGGCCAGTCTAGTCTACAGAGTGAGTTTCCAGGACAGCCAGGGACACATTTAAACCCTGTTTAAAAAAAAAAAAAAGCAGCAAAATACTACTAAGCACTCAATGCCACACCAGCTCCAGTGTCGTCCATGTGACATGAACAATTATGTCAATAATAGCGGACGGGAAATACGTGTCCCACGGGACTAAGCTCCATGGAGGTTCCTGGCAGAGTGCCCGTGTTATGCTTCCTTCTCGAAGGAGACATGCTTCACAGATCATGAGTTCCCTGGGCTATGGGTTCTGTATAACTGCTTTTCTGATAATGTTCTAATTAATCTGTAAAACACAGCCAAAATTAATGAATGCTTGGGTTGTGAACTATGGAGGAAAGGGGAAGCTGGACATGGACCTTATTTAGATATAGCAGAATTCCTTAAAGACCTCAAGCCTCTAGATAATAGAAAGTATAATAGTTCAGGCACTTCTAGAGAATGAACACTCACCCACTAGGAATCCTTTAGGAATCCCAACTAAAGTGATTTATGGCAGAAAACATTATCTCATAGGAGGCAGATGGTGGGCCCCTCTGTTGAGGAAGTTCAGCATGGAAAACTTAAGGACTACAGCAGAACTCCTTCCCCTTACAGGTGTAAAAGTACAAGTGTCCATATTCCAGCAGGTAAAAAGGTTTTATATTAGAAGAGATATATGGTAAAGAACTGAAGAAAGACTTAGGGAGGACCTGCAGCATCCAAATTGGCTAAATGGGTCATGAGAACCAGAAAAGTAAAAATGAATAATAAACTAGCGAGCAGCTGAGATAAAGATGAAGGACACAGCTGCAAGAAGCCTACACAAGTCTAGGAACTGTACTAAGTTTAAAAAACACAGACTGCTCTTTGGGTCATAAAGTTCTTGTGAGTGAAGGGATATGTCTAGCGCCAATTAATAATTATATGTTTACTGTTTTTAAAGATGATGTAATTGAATTATTGCCAAGCTCTTGTTGTTCCTTGTATGACTTGATAGTTTTCTTTTCTGTATATGAACTACTGATTTGCAGAAGTAAAATTGCAGCAGATTCAAACCACTTCTGAGTGTGTTGTCTGTCTGTCATTCGCCGAATCCTTGCCTTCCTGACTACCCAAGCTCTGGTCCCCCTGCGGTCATGGTACCCCCGATGGGCCAGTCTGTGGCAACTCAAATTATCATTGAAGGTTTAATTCATAATTAACCACATGCATTCTTATGACAAAGTTTTGAATTTCATTTTTCCTTAGCATTCTGTAGATGAAGGCAGTAGAATTATATTATTTTGGATTTCATTGAAAATTGACACTGCTAAATAACTATGAAACAAGTGAAATGTCCATGTCTGAGTTGAAGAAAGGCATGATCACTTTATTAGCAAACATGGCTCTACAGACAGAAGACACCTGGAGAGCGACAATCCCTGAGACACAGCCAAGTTCCACAGAGAAGCCCAATGTGTCAAAAACCATGAACTTATGGACTCAAGCAGACATCGTCCAGGAGACAGAGAGATTCTGGGGCTCGGGGGAAGGAAGGTCTATCTGACTTCTTCAGCAGGAGGACTTGGAAGGAGGGAGCAGGGAACCCAGGAGTTGGGAGGGTCTGCTGGGCTGCATGCTGGGGAGGGGCTGTGGCTCCCTCCCTCCTGCCAGCAGCCCTTTGTGATGAGGAGGCCACAGCTGTGTGATGTGAGCCTGAGCCCTCCTGACAAGCCTCATACTGTGCTCCCTGGACTCAGTTGCTTGAGAGCCTCAGTGAGATTCAGAAGATGGAGAGTTCTGTCCTTCAGCTGAAAAGCCTTAGTGACTCCTGGATGATTCTCAGCTCCATTTTCATAGAGATGGACGTGATCTTTGGTGTTATGTGTGGAGTGGGGCTCTTCTTCCTACTGATCCCCTTCCTGAAGATTTACCCAGTGTCACCACCACCTGAGAGTGGAAAGAACACCCCAAAGGTGAGGAAAGCCTTGGCTGAAACACAATGGAGTGTGTTCAGTCTGTTGTTCACTACTGTTAGGTTCACATTTCCTACTCAAGTAGAGAGACGGGTGAGAGGAAATCTCCAGAAAGAACAGCACCTCATCTGCAGGGACTGGAAAGTAGGGCAGAGGGGAGAGAGGCCTTGAGGTGTGTGCCTGAAGCTCTCAGACCATCTGTGCGCTGTGGCTACTAAGAGAGGCCACTGAAGCAGACGGTGGCTCCATGGGCTCCATTTCTGAGATGGTGGGGAGCTCTGTCTGGGACAGGACAGGCTCTGAGAAAGGGGTCATCTGTCCTCTGCTCAGATACAAGCTTTTGTGTATGTTGGCATGATATTGGGGGGGTAGTTGATGAGACCAAGGGCCACAGCCAGGCATGGTGACTCACGACTTTAATCCCAGAAAGCGAGCCTTTAATCCTAGGGAGTAATGGTAGAAAGCAGAAAGGTATATAAGGTGTGAGGACCAGAAACTAGAAGCATGTGGCTGGTTAAGCATGTGGCTGGTTAAGCATTTGGCTGGTTAAGCATTTGGCTGGTTAAGCCTTTGGCTGGTTAAGCTTTCAGGCTTTTGAGCAGCAGCAGTTCAGCTGGGATTTATTCCGGATGAGGACTCAGAGGCTTCCAGTCTGAGGAAACAGGACCAGCTGAGGAATTGGTGAGAACTTTGAAGATTCCTGCTCCATCTGGCACCCAACATTCGTGGTACAAATTCATGAAAAAGCTGTTTGCCTGTAGCCTTGTGAGCCCCAGCTCAGGCCCGAGCTACACTCAGCCGGTTGTGGTGGCGCACGCTGGTAGGATTTACTGAAGGAGGCAGAGGCAGGAGGATCCCAAGTTTGAGGCCGGCCTAGGAGGCTTGGGAGAAGCTTTGGCCTGGACTGAGCCACAAACAGTGGTGGGACCATGGAAGCAGTGGCTACTGCTCCATGTTGACAGCTCCTTCTCATTGTGTTGGTGACTGCAGTGATGCTGCTACCTGGGACAAAGGGTTTACTGCTGCTGGTTCAGAGAAGAATTGCCAGGACCATCGTGTTACAAGAAAGCTTCGGCAAAGGTCAGTTTGGAAAAGTTTGGCAAGACAAATGGTGGAGAGAAATTGTTGTGAAGATTTTCTGTTCTAGGGAAGAATATTCATGGTTCCGAGAGACAGACGTTTATCAGACTGTGATTGCTCCAAACCACAGAGGCACAAAAAAAAAAAAAGTCTGCATGGAACCATGACCACACCTAACAGCAACTTTGAAATCTTCAAAAGGACTATGATAAAGCCATTAAGCTGATTAACACTACAGAAAGATCTGTTTTGGACTACGAACTGCTTAGGACAATTTTGAGATGGCTAGCTGAAATGATTCAGCCTGACAGACTACTTGAACAAGGACTTGAAACAAGCCCTGAACTTTCCTTTTACGCAGAAACTGGACAAATGATACAGGACTTGACAATTAACCCAAAAATTTTCTTTTCAAGATTCCCTAAAGATATCTTTACCCCTAGAAAGCAAAAAGAAAAAGAGAATAAGATATGAGATAGATCATTGAATCTACTCTGAAAAAAAAAGATAAAGAAATAATAGGACAAATAGGTAGATCATTGAATCTACACTGAAGAAAAAGGAGAAGATATAAAAATGATAAAAGGTAGACTACTGAATCTATTATGAAAAGAAAAAAAGAGAATATGGATATAATAAGATAAAAAAGGAGATTATGGTATCTACTTTTAAAAAGGAACTACTTGTTTTAAATAAGATAAGTAATGAAAATTTTTTTGGTCTGACTTTATCAGATATTACTGGACTGGACATTGTTAATATATATAATGGAGTTTTTATCTGAATCTATCAAATGTTAATGAACTAAACATCATTAATGTAATTTTTGGCTGTATATATTGTATATATTTATTGGATAGTTTTTCTTGTATTAGTTATAAGCTTTCTTTAATTTTAGACAAAAAAGAGAGGAAATGTGGTGGTATTGTGTTCCCCAAAATATTGTGTACCTTAATAAACTTATCTGGGGTCAGAGAACAGAAAAGCCACTAGTTAGGCAGTGATA